AACCACCAAGAAACTGACGGACTAATGATAGTGCACAAAGAATTACAACTGAATAATGAAATAAGTACTTCAAAATGTTCAAACTCAAACTGATAATTTTGAAATGAACTATTCAGGCTCGAAGGATCAAAATGATTTGTAGTGGACTGTAGTTTTCTTTTTATTTTTATTTTAATCACGCTGAATCAATCGCGGGAAAGTACTTCCTACCTTAAACAGTTGAAATCTGCACCATTCCAGGGAATCCAGGTTCCAGGGCTGCTCCAGAAGTGGAATTTTAATATGCGAACGCGGTGCACCGAAAAACGCGGGTTTTAAATCACTAGAATTGGTTTTCTATCGATTTTTATTTTAGGAGTCAACTGCGCGCTCGATCCCGCTCGTTGCGTCTGTGTCGTTCTCTCTTCTCCGGCAGGGGTCGCTGTCCACAGGATTGGAAGTAACTTTCATGAACGCGAAACGGCGGTTAAATTTAAAAAGTGATTCTTTGTGCACCAAATATATGTATATATGTATATATATCATATAACTATATGAATACTATACAAACTAAAACTAGACAAAAAGAAGGGTGAAAACGTTCTTGAACACTCATCACACACCAGGCGGCCGAATCCCTCCAAATCCCAAAGACACAATTGTTGGTATGGTACTATATAGTAGTCTCCATTTTTCCCCGTTCGTCCTCTGGCATTGTCTTTCCTTGTATACGGAAATGTCCGCAAGCAATCTATACATAGAAGTGAGTGATAATGTTTGTCGGTTAATTGACCGAAAAGATACATATAATAATGAAGATGATGGAAAGCCCGAATTTCGAGTGTCAACGGAAAATGCCAGAACTCCACCGCCCGCGAGAGAGTCGATTTCACAACCTCTGGGTTACATGCCCAACGTTCTGCCAAAGACACTCGAAATCATGCACTATATGAAGCATCGCATCGAAATTAGGGCTTTCCATCATTATTATATGTATCTTTTCGGTCGAGTAACCAACAAACATTATCACTCACCTCTATGTATAGATTGCTTGCGGACATTTCCGTATACAAGGAAAGACAATGCCAGAGGACGAACAGGGAAAAATGGAGACTGTATAGTACCATCCAGCCAGCGATAGTTATAGGGAGATTAGTCAAGAATACGAATGATGCAATTTTTGCATTTCTCGAAAGGCTGTACCTCAGGTTGAATGATGGTGAAGAAGCTGCAGCAGTATTCTGTGATCTATCGAAGGCCTTCGACTGTCTGAATCATAGAATACTGCTGGGTAAACTCCATACAAATGGTTTTAGAGGTGTACCTTTGCTTTGGTTTCAATCGTACTTAACTGACCGGTCTCAAAGTGTCATTCTTCATAACAAAGCCTCAAAGCAATTAGCTGTGAAACATGGAGTCCCGCAAGGCTCTGCACTTGGTCCCTTGTTATTATTATTATATAAGAATGACTTGATGCAAATCGATATTCAGGGACAATTCACCGTATTTGCTGACGGTACGACTATTCTTTGGCATATGATGAATTCCTCATGTTACAGATAATCAAATATTTCAGATTCAAACAGAAAGTCTTTATTCCTTTTCAAAATTGTGACGTGACTAACTCTGCCACATTGACAATAATAATCCAAATTCCCATATACAATGTGTACATAAACATTGATATTAATACGCCGTCACATTTCTCCCCGCGGTGAAGGAAGTTCTTCTTCTTCACTAGTCTCTTGTATACGACACAACTTACTAGTGGGTCTTCGGAAAGTAGAAGTGCTTGTTTTTATTTCTGCGACTCTTATCTTTCCATCTGGTCCTGGAAACACTTTTTGTACCTTTCCCAATCTCCAGGTGTTTCTTGGAATATTGTCATCCGCTATGACAACAATATCTCCAACTTTAATTGGTTTATTATCGTCTGTCCATTTGGAACGTTTATTCAGCCGGGGTAGATATTCCTTTATCCATCTACGCCAAAATATATCAGTCATCATCTGGGATTTCTTCCACTGTTTTCGTAATGTTGATCCTGAATCGGTTATACATATTGGTTCATTCTGATTACCATATCCAACCAAGAAATGATTCGGGGTAAGTGCTTCAGGATCTGCAGCATCCACAGAAACATAGGTGAGAGGACGAGAGTTCACTATATTTTCCGCCTCTGCTAATAGCGTTGAGAGAGTTTCATCACGAAGCGACTGATTATATAGAGCAAATCCGATAGTTCTCTTGACAGAACCAATCAGCCGCTCCCAAACGCCGGCCATGTGTGGAGCTGCAGGTGGTATGAATTGAAAGTCTATACCTTCTGAGGACATTGTATCGTACAAAGCCGATTTATTCAGTTCAGCAAGACATTTTTTCAATTCATCAGCGGCGCCACGGAGATTTGTTCCGTTGTCGCAAAATATTTTCAATGGTTTTCCTCTTCGCGCAATCATTCTTCTGATAGCCATTATAGTGGAGTCTGTGGTTAAACTATACGCAACTTCCAGATGAATAGCTCTGATCGCCATACAGGTGAACAGAACTCCCCATCTTTTCTCTCTTCGACGACCCACACAAACTTGCAGTGGTCCAAAATAGTCCATGCCGACGTTCACGAACGCTCGAACATCTGGAGTCAACCGTACTTCTGGTAGTTGCCCCATTATGGGTACCGCAGGTTTTGCCTTAGATCTTCTGCACACCAGACATCGGGTGAAAGTTGACTTCACTGCAGCTCTTCCATCAATGACCCAAAATCGTTGCCTCACGTCGTTCAGGATTGTCTCAATACCTTGATGACGGAACTTTTCATGGTAGTGTCGCAACAATAACTTTGTGTATGGGTCTTTCGAACTGAGAATATATGGTTTCTTCGCCCTGTATTCCATTTGAGTGGCCAAATTTAGTCTGCCATCTAATATTAACAACCCATCTTTATCTAGGCATGCTGATAGTTGTTTCAAACGACTCATCCGATTTAAATGTCCATATCTCCTTAATGTTTCGATATCATCTTGAAAACTCTGCTCTTGAGATATGCCTATCAAGTACTTTTCCGCTTCAGTTATCTCTTGTACAGTCAAATCTATTGGAAATGCCATATCTTCTTTTCTTACTTTTTTCAACAATTTTTGTACATATCTTCTCACCCAAGCTGTTGTTCGGATCAGTCGAATCCACTTAGAAAATCTCTCTAGGTTGATAATATTTTTACCTTCGGTTGAAACTGCTACAAACTCTGCTTTCATTTCAGAAGAGTATTCTGGACCCAATTGACTACATAAAATTTCATTTTCTGATGGCCAAAATTCTTCAGGTTTTCTTAAGAACTCTCGACCATGAAACCAGTTTTGTAGAATAGTTTCGATTTTATCACTGAATTTGAGTCTTGTAGCATAGTCCGCAACATTTTCATTGGTTGGTAACCATCGCCATTCTTCAGCTAAAGTATTTCCTTGAATTTCACCTATACGATGCGCTACAAACTGTTTGAAATCCCTACCATTACTTCGTATCCACTGTATGACGCATTTGGAGTCCGACCAAAAATACTTCTGATAGATTTCGAGTTCCAATTCGTCGTATATAGTGCGTGATAATCGACTAGCCATCACTGCAGCTTGCAGCTCAAGCCTCGGAATGGACAACGGCTTCAGCGGGGCAACTCTGGTCTTTGCTGATATCATCGATACATCTATGGAAGTGTCTCCGACGATTCGAAGATATGTGACACTGCAAAATGTCTTCTCGCTACTATCGCAAAATGTATGTAATTCAAGTCGCTTTGCATCGGGAATATTTGTGGAATAACATCTGGGTATTCTGACTCTTTCAATATCCTTGAGGTCTTCCAACCATCTGAGCCATTTTTCTTGAATACTTTCAGGAACATGTTCATCCCAGCTGAATCCTAAGCGCCACACATCTTGCATAAGTATCTTCGCTCGCACTGTAAAACATGCTAGGAGGCCTAGGGGATCATATACTGACATGATATTTTTCAATATTTTCCTTTTCGTGAAATTTTCGGTCGAATCGTTAGTTTTAAGGACTTCAGTATTGATTTTAAATAAAAGTTCATCTGTCGTTGACTGCCACCATATCCCCAGAACTCTCTCAGGCGAGCAAATATCATTATTGAATGTCTTCATCATCAGCATGTCTTCGGACAGAGTTTCTTTGACTAATTTTGAATTTGAGATCCAGTTCACAACTTCGAAACCTCCAAGCGCATGAACTTTATATACATCTTGTACCATTTGAAGTGCTTCTTCTTCTGTATCTAACGAATCCAAATAGTCGTCAACATAAAATTTCTTGGTGATGGCATTCAAGACTTTTTCGGAAGGAGATTTTTGTTCTGCATTCAAATTCTTGATGAATTGGGCACATACTGGTGAACATGCAGCAAGGACCACAATGTTACAGATAATCAAATATTTCAGATTCAAACAGAAAGTCTTTATTCCTTTTCAAAATTGTGACGTGACTAACTCTGCCACATTGACAATAATAATCCAAATTCCCATATACAATGTGTACATAAACATTGATATTAATACGCCGTCACACCTCAGTATTGGGAAATATCATGTAAATTCTCATAAGAAATGTGATCATTGTTTGTTCTTTCATGTACTACATGCTTCTTTTCTAGCTGATAACTTGAACATTTGCATAATTAGTTTTGCATAAGATCTTACAGAATTCAGTGTTGTATATTTTTTCAACAGTTTTCAAAGATGTAATGTTTTTTCCTGTGAGAATTTCGCCATTTATATGTCTGATGATATCTCATTAATTAAACTTATTATCAAAAGTTTCTGTTTATAATTATGAAGTGAATACATCTAAAAACTCATTTCACGTACAAATCTGAAAAAATTCCTAATTTTTTTTCCTGGTATTTCTAATTATGGGGTACATCAGACCCCACCTGGGTGATGATGTACAGGTTTTCCACCTGGGTGACGCCGGGTTGAATGATATGGAATAAAAAGTTTTCTGTCTTTTAGGGTAAATTTTCCTTGTTCAGTCAGTATGCCAAGACATTCAACTCTGACACATTCGACTATGAAGCTCTTGCCGAGACCGACTACGTATTCATGAGGTGGAAGGAGCATTTCTTGGTTCCGGATCACACGATCCGGGATATAAGCGGTGCATCATTCGCCGGCTTCTACTATATCTGCTTCCAAAAATCTAACGCCACAATCGAAGGTTACTACTATCATCGTAGCTCAGAATGGTGAGTACAAAGGTTATGTTTCGATCAACTTACTGGATCGAAAGTAAGCGTTTGCTGGAGTTCCTCAATGTACTTGACAATGCTGTTTTGATGTTTTTTTATATTCAGAGTAGAGTGCATAGATTGAATATAGAGTGAGTAAATTGAGAGTGACGACAATAGACCTCCAAATGGCTGCCGTTTCCGTAATGTCATTCTTGATCATTTCACTGAATAGCTGAAGATCCAAAGGGTATCTCCCATGCAGTAATGAATTTGCGCCTTTGAAGTGCCCATCTGATGTTAGGTTTAGATATTTGATATTTTCCCCAGGTAGCCACACTGACAAAAATGACGTCTATAGGACATCTAATTTTGGTCATTTATGGTCCCATTCGTCACTTGTCCAAATCATGACGTCAAAATGACGTCGTCTTCCCGAGGTCACATAGACGGCTCCGTCTGGACGTTTTGCGGACGTCGCAAGAGACGTCAATATCTGGTCTTCACACACTTGTTAATCTCAGAAGGTGTTGTCATTTGATAATTCAAATTAGCCCACTAAATCCTACCAATCACTGCATTTTCTTGTTCAGGCGGCACAAAAGTCGTCAGAATCAAACGTGACCAAACCCGAACCGAGCAGTTTGTACCTCTTTCCAATGTTGCCGTCTTTACAATTCCTACTCAGTTATATTATTCTAGTGAGTAATAAATATTAAGATTCAAGAATGATAATTGCACAATAGATCCTGAAAGAATAAAGCATCAGATGGCAGTAGCATATTCGAGCTGGGGGTTACGATTCATGTCAGCTGTGACGCCAACTGTCATTATCTGATCATTTCTAGGCACCTTATAGTGATGATATTTTTAACCTTAATGTTGTATTTTGTGATGACAGCCACAAAAAAGTGGAGTGTGGCTATAATGAATTCAATTTTCCTGAATACAGCAATAGTTATCATATCATGCAGATGACAGATGACCGTCAACATTTTCACATGGTAGCATGATGGGATATTATTGTTATTCAGTTTTCTTCAATGAAGTGAAAAACAAAAGTTATTTGAAAACAATTATCATTATTTTCGAGTTTCTGTTTGTTTGTTTGAAATTTGGCAACCCGGGTGCGTCGGACGTCATCGGCATGCATCGGTCGCATCAACCATCGCGCCGTCTCTACTAGAATTTTGCTTATTGTTTTGTTGTTCCCTTGTGCTTTGTGCGTTTCGATTGACGCATTGATGGGATGGTTCCTCATTCAATATGTTTTGGTGTTTTGTTTCAATACACTGATTTTTGATTTTTTTGGTGATGTTTTCTGTTATTCAAATCGATGATAGTGGAAACAACAGTGGCTGTTGTCCAGGAATAGTGGTTGACTACTCGGACGACAGGAGACAGAAGTGTTTTTGCCGTCATTTGATGATAGTCGAAACTATAAGTGCGACGGTGAACCCATCGATATCTTCATGAAATCAGCAAACATTTCTTGTTTTCACATCAGATTTTTTATATAAAATACAGTGAGTTTAGTTAATTCCAAATATTCGTGGATATAAAAATTGATCTGTTTCGATATTGTTCTGAATTTGAGTTGAGCTCTGAATGATTGTAATTTCTCTAATGAATGAATATATCATATGAAAACAAGGTTTCATCTCATTAAATTGTTCCTCATTCAAGTGATGATTAGAACAAACCTCAAAACGAGAAGTTTGGGCATATTTCTCGAAGAATAGACGTCGCTACGACATCCAAAACTAGTCAACAACGTCAGTTTCAAGTCATAATTGAACACCGCATTGACGTCCAAAGGACCTAAAAAGTGACGTCATTCAGCTGTGACTTACGTCGTTTAGACTCAGTTTGGA